GGTGTTTCTTTGTTTGTATTTTGCTTTTTTATTTGCAAGTAACTTCCAGAAGTGGTAGCTATTTAACAAGTCGATAAACTGAGGTTCAGAGAATGTAAGCTGTTTAGTCATGGTCACACAACCAGAGAGAGTGGCAGAGCTGGGACTTAACCTACAGTGTGGAAAAAATTCAACAAAATAAAGCTGACTGAGGCGAAACATCATGTAAAATATGATTTATTCCCGATCAAATTATATGCCTTTTAATGATAATGCCCAGTGGGTGGCGAGGGTTCCATGAAATGGGCTCTCATGTTGTGGCAATGTTATTGGTGGGTGCGATCCTTTGGTGAAGCCATGGGTAAAAAGATGTCCACAAGAGCCACATGAACTGAACGTCCTCGTATATCCCCTTCTTCCTAAGGGAAGCAGTCCAAAATTTGGAGCAGGCTAGATATGTGAACAGTCATCAAAATGGTACCTAAATGGTAAAGACTTGGAAACAACTGAATTTACCAAAAAATGGAATGGTAAAGTAACTTATTTCTATGAAATGAAACATTTTGTCACTATTAAAGGTTGCAATTGTGAAGACGATATGAAGTAGTATGAGAATGCACCAGTGGGGAATGCAAAATTAATTTCTCTATTATTATGCTGTGAAAAGAGGAACTAGTAACAAATCCTTCAGTGTTAAAAGTAGAGATGTTGAGATGATGCATGTGTGATTGTTTTTCCTTTGCTATGTTTGCTAACTTATTTTGGTAATGTACTTATATTATTTCTAAAATATAAAATAACTTTTTAAAATAATCTAAAACATTTTTCCCAGAGCAGCAGAGGAGCTGTGTTGGGAATAAGATAATCTCTGCCCACTGGGGCTGGGACCGGGACGCTGGTCCTGTGCAGAGCCAAGTCAGCTCCATCCCAGTTCCCAGCCCTCAGTCCACAGACCTTAGCACCGTCACCTCAGTCTCTGTAGAACTTGAGCATCTGATCCGCAGAAACTGCCAGGCCCATTTTCAGTCCCCCCAGCATCACACAGAACCTGCCACCTTCAACTCCACCTGCCCAGGGCTCTTCTGGCACCTCCTTGTCCTTTACATCCAAAATTCGGGGGGCTTCTTCCTTTGTTTCCTCATGATACCCAACCCCCAGAGGCCCACCCAGAATGGAGTCAGCTGCAACGCTCACTGTCCTGAGCATGTTCCGGAACCAAGGGCATGCTTAGACGGTGACATAGGTTTTTCCAAACCTATTGAGTGTACACTTCAAACTGAAGGGTTTTTCTGCATTATTCCCTTAACTTTACGCTAAAGATGAGAGCCAAGCCTTTTAGCATATGTTTTTTACAATGTCCAAACATTTAAAATGAGAAATTAAATCAGTTGGGGGAAAAAAAGAAAACCTCCTTTGGGAAAAGCGATCTGGTTGATTCTTGCAGTAAGTCTCAGCTTAGCTATAAATTCAAAAGCTAGACCCTGAGTAAGTGGAAAATTCCAAGAAGCGGAGTTGAATTACCCCGGAGGAACATCTGGACAAATGTGCAAGATGCTAGACCCCTCAGCAGAATTTCTCAGAGCTGGGTTCATGTGGTCTCTGTGGCTTCCACTTCCCCAGTCTCTAAACATCTGTCTCACCTGCTTGTCTCTTTCCAGAACCAGGTGATTCCATCTTTTATTTTTACAGATTTTTGTGATTTACTTGAAAGACAAAGTGAAAGAGAGAGAGAGTTTCCATCCACTGGCTTGCTCCTCAAATGGCCACTTGGTCAAGGCTGGGCCATACCAAAGCCAGGAACCACGAGCTCTGTTTGGGTCTCCCACACGAGTAGCAGAGGCCCAAGCACTTGGGTCGTCTTCTGCTGCCTTCCCAGGAGCATTGGCAGGGAGCTGGATGGGAAGCGCAGCAGCTGGGACTGAGCCAGGGCTCCTGTGGGATGTGGCCCCTCCACCTTTCTTTGACACAAACTGTCAAAGACGTCCAGACCTTTCTCCTAGTAACCTGCTCCTGTCCCAGGGCCTGTAACACATGATGCTGGCAAACACGGTTCCAAACCCGTGAAGGCTCAGGGCGAATGTGAAGTTTAAAGCCAAGTTCCGCCTCTACAGCACTTCAAAGTAGTTCAAGTTGTCGTGACAGGTGTTACCAAGGAACTGATGAGGAAGTTTCCTTTCCAAACCAGGGGACTCCTCAACGAAAATCACAGCAGGATCATAAATTCTGCTGGTGCCATGGGAGTCAGATATTTTATTGTGCTGACCTTAGGTTAAGCCACTAACTTGGTCTGCAAAGCTCCTGATTCTGTTCCTTATGCACTCACTGCATGTTTAGCTCCCAGCCCCCATTCCCAAGTCGGAACTCAGTCCCGGTGAGACAGTATGAGGGAGCAGCGCCCTTGGGAGGGCAGCAGGTCTAGAAGCGATCGTGAGACCGGAGCGTCGGTGATGGCACAACGTAGAGACGAGAGCTCTCTGCCTCGTGAGGGTGACGAGGAGGCAGACCCCTGTAACAGCAGAAGGGGCCTTACCGGACAGCACATCTGCGGGCACTTTGATCTTGACCTTGATCTTGGACTCAGAACTGTGAGAGATGAATGTTGAGTGGTAGAGCCACCTGGTCTAGGTGTTTTATTACATCAGCCCAGGATGGAGTCTGAATAACGTTACTTCCTTTGGCTGTGTGCTCAGATCACTGACGCTGCTATGGAGATGCTGTCAGCAAAATGCCACTACCTGCACATTCTGGACGTCTCTGGGTGCGTCCTGCTGACTGACCAAATCCTCGCGGACCTTCGCATGGGCTGCAGACAACTCCGGAGCCTGAAGATGCTATACTGCAGGCTTATTTCCAGGTAAGTGAGGACCTAAACAGGAAAAGCTTGGAGAACTGCTCTCCGAGAAAACGAATGCAGGGGGCTGTCAGTATTAGAAAGTTTCATTTTACTTATTTCTCCACCTAATTGAAGCCACCATTTTGAGTTAAACTCTGAGTAGAGGGGCGGGCATTTGGTGCAGTGTTTAAGGTATCACTCGGGACATCCACATCCCATATTGAGTTCGAGTCCCAGCTCCACTTCGGAGTCCAGCTCCGAACAGCTGGCTGCATCCCAGGGCTACCCAAGCGTTGGGAGCCCTATTACTAGCACAGTTACCCGCGCCTTCTCTGTCAGCGAGTTGAGCACGCTCTGCAGTGAATCTGACGGGTGACCGTGCGTTCTCCAACTCCAAATGTGGTCTGCCCCAGCGATGACAGCTGCGACTAACCAGTGCTACCCACTGTTGTGGCAGGGAGGCCGCTAAGAAGATGGCGGCGGCGGTGCAGCGGCAGGAGCACAGCTGTAACGACCCACCGCGGTGGTTCGGCTACGACTACGAAGGCAAGCCTCTTGCAAAGCATCACGGCGCGACGCCGCACAAGGAAGACCTGGAGCCGATAGTGCGCGACTTAACGTACGGTAGCGAGGAGGAAGCCGTGTAGCTCTCGGCGTCCCGCAGAGGCACACCCAAGTCTAGAACGTGGTAACTCTCCCCCGCCTGATGCGTGTTTGCTAGCTGGCTCTCCATGGCAGTGCTAACTGGCAGCAACCATCTGTTTCTTATTCCGACTATAAATGTTTCTAAAATACACCCGTAGTTCTTTTATCCAAAGAATCACAATGAAAGGAAGCCAAATAAAGTACTGCTGTTTTGCCAAATTTCCACCTCCGTGTCACTTAATTTGATGAGATTACTGAATCTAAGGTGAGGTTCTAGAAACATCCCTGAGAGATGTGACCTTTGACATCTCCCATTGCACATCTGCATGCAGGTTTTTAGTAAGCTTTCGTCTGTGGCTGATCACCATGATTTGATATTGTATAAGCTGACTTTCATAGGAGCCCAGGAGAAAGTACACTCTCTCCTGACTGCACAAACGGGGTCTCGGTAATACTAGACCAGTAACTGAACCTTTCTGTTGCCTCAATAACTTGTCTCTGTCCTTGTATCCCGCAAGTCTGAAGGAAGAGTAAAAACTAAGATAAAGCATATGAAAGTTATTTTGAAAAGTTCTAAAACTGCTGCACAAAGTCGTATCACAGGGTTCTCTGTTTTAACTCCATGCTTTGGAGTCCAACGTTTTCAGACCTGACCCAAGACACTCAAGACGGCTGTGGTAAGGGTGCGATTTTTAGCTCAATTTGTAAGTTTCTGGCAGCTGCATTAGAGTTGGCTTCAAAACCTGACCCAGCCGGCGCCCCGACTCACTAGGCTAATCCTCCACCTTGCGGCGCCGGCACACCGGGTTCTAGTCCCTGTCGGGGCGCCGGATTCTGTCCCGGTTGCCCCTCTTCCAGGCCAGCTGTCTGCTGTGGCCCGGGAGTGCAGTGGAGGATGGCCCAAGTGCTTGGGCCCTGCACCCCACTGGAGACCAGGATAAGCACCTGGCTCCTGCCATCGGATCAGCGCGGTGCGCCGGCCGCAGCGCGCCAGCCATGGCGGCCATTGGAGGGTGAACCAGCGGCAAAGGAAGACCTTTCTCTCTGTCTCTCTGCTTGGGACTTAAGCCTGTAGCCCAAGTATGCACAGTTCCATGTATACTTTTAAATAGGATTGACTTTACATTTGTGCCTCTTCCTGTTTTTGGCTAATTTTCATCTGATTGCAGAAAGGTGAAGAAAGATGAGAAAAACTACTTCATTGTCTTACATTCTTTTAATAAACAGTGGAACATACACCACAACCACATCAAATATGTAATTTTCAAACTCGTACAAATTTTGATTTTACGAAGGATAAACTGAAACTTTGAGATATCTCATAAAACTGGATTTTTGTTTCCAAAATAAGTTAAAAGAACTGCACAGAAATGGAAAACTAACAAAAATGATCCTATTATAAGTCAGAGTATTTGGAAAGGCTTATTAAAAAATCAGTTTACAAATTGACTTACCCTAATCATAAAAAATACAATCCAATAGATAGGTCTCTTCAGTGTTGCTTAATGTAAATGTTTCACGAATAGACAAAGTTTTAAAGAAATGGGATTTATAAAATAACTTTATTAAGTAGATCTTTATAATGGGAACAATCAATCTTTATACATTAGGCTATGAAATTGTCCAGTCACAAATACCAGGAATTTGCCAATAAGCTGAATGACTGTGGAAGCGGATTTCTCCCCCAAGTCTATAGACGGGAACTCAGCCTGGCCCATATGACAATTTCAGTCTTGTAATAATCTCAGCAGGGAGCCTGGCCACGCTGGGCTCTTGACCTACAGAACTGTGAACTGATAAATGGGCAAGATTGTAAGCTGCTAAGTTTATGGTGTAGTAGTTCAGGGTTTACTTTCCATACTTCCAAGCAGTGTCATGCCACCCCGCCCTGTCCTGCCCAGGACGTGAACCAGCCCTGGGTCCCGCGTAGCCTGCCCGCTAGACACTTAGTGGCTGTCTTGGTCAGAGACCCACTATCCCCGCATAGCAGTGCCTGTGTTCAAGTAACCTTTACTTATTTGATAATGACCCAATAGTATGAAAAGCAGTGATGTTGGTCATTTGGGGATGCCAAACAAGAGCTTTGCCGTGCTTGTTTCAAGTGAAAAGGTGAAAGTTCTCACAAAAGTTGCTAACATCTATGGTGAGAATGCATCTTCTACCCGTGAAAGTACAAAGAAGGAAAAAGGAAACTCATCCTAGTTCTGCTAGTTGTACCTCAAGCTGCAGAAGTCTGGAACAGCCACAGTGTGTGCTGAGTGCTTAATAAAGATGAAAAAGGCAATACATTTATGTCGTCTGGATAGAAAAAGCATAGTACACGTAGGGATCGGCACTGTCCTTGGTTTCAGGCATCCACCAGGGGCCTTGGAAGATAATCCCCGTGGATAAAAGGGGACAACTGTAATTTGCTTCAGGGGATAGAACTTGAGCACAATAGTGGAGCACAGAATTTGAAAAAGCCCCCCGCCAAAAATAACAGTTCATCAATATTCATTCCCAGTTTGCTGTTTTTAACATTATATGGACTTGTATTTTTTTTAAAAAAGTATTTATTTATGTGTTTATTTGAAAGGCAGAGAGAGAGAGATGTTGCTCCTCCGCCCGCGGATGAACGACACCGGACGCTGTTGATCCCCCTTCAGTAGGGTTTTTATTACAGTAAAGAGAAGAAAAAAGGAGCAAACGAACGAACTGTGCCATCTCTATCCCCCTTTATAGTCCTCTCCCACCAATCCGTGCCCTGCTCGATCTCTCTCGGGGGCGAGGCTCCGATTCCCCAGCTGCGCGCAATTGTCGCCCCACTCGTCTCCACTGTTGTTGCTCTAAGTATTCGCCAGCCTTGTCAAGCTAGGATGGTATCTCTCTCGGCGCCATGTGTGGGAGACGGGCCCTGCCTCCCACAAGAGAAACTATCTTCCATCCACTGGTTCACTCCCCAAATGGCCGCAGCAGCCAGGGGCTTCATCCAGGTCTCCCAGGTGAATCAGGAACTTGAACACTTTCGCCATCACTGTTACTTCCCAGGTACACTGTTAGCAGGGAGCTGGATCGTAAGTGGGGCAGCTGGGACTTGAACCTGTGCTCTGATATGGGATGCCGGTGTTCCAAGCAGCAGCTTAACCAGCGGTGCCACAACACCCACTCCGGTATTTGCATTTTTGTGGTCACACATCTGCTAATCATTGTGAAAAATCATAAATACAATTCAAGCCATTCTTAGTCCGACAGTTTCAGGGACTGGAACCAGCTTTGACTTCTCAAACTGACAGTGCCTTTTGGGGCATCTGCATTAATCCGTCTTTCATGTTGGCTTGCTTGATTCATGAATCCTGAAACACAAAAATAGCATGAAGTCACATCTTCATGGACAAGTATCTGGCCACACAGATGCCACCAACACGTGCATTACTGAAAAACCCCTGGAGCACCAAGAATCCTCTTGCAGATCGTCTGGCTTGGGAAGGAGCTGCACAGAGGCTATCTGAGGGTAGCCTGTCCCCTTTCATTTTTCCCAGAACAACTCTGAGTGGGAAGCTACTCTGTTTTTTATTTGCATTATTTCTAATGCAGGATTTTAGAAAAAATATATATAATTGACAAAATACATTGTGTGTGTATGATAGATCAGGCAGTAAGTTTTGACCTGCGTGGAAACCTGTGAAGCCATCTCCTCATGGTAATGAGCACATCCACCATGCCCCAAAGTTCCCTTGGACCCCTCTGTCATCCTTCCCTCACGTCCCTCCCTGCCTGTTGCCCCCCAAGCCCCCAGCAATCACCCGTCTGCTCTGTCATCAATCACTTGCATTTGCTAAACTTTTATATCACAGTGGAATCACATGGTATGCACTTTTATAAACTCTTCTTCCCCTCAGCCTGATTTTTCTGAGGTTCCACCACCTGTGCCCTGTCTCAGGCAGCTTCCTCCCAGGCATGCTGGTCACCCTGTTGGATGCTCGTGGGTCCCCCACTGCAGACCCGCTTGGGGCTGCTCCTTCCTCTCTGGAATGCTGGGCAGCCCTGGTCTCCCCAGAACCCGGCTCAGCCTCCTCCTCACAGGCAGACTTCTGGGCTCTGCCTGTGTCACCTCCTGCCCCACTGCCCAGGGACCCTCACAGTTAACAGGCTGTGACAGTCCTAATGCCCTCCTGTGTGTGTTCCCTTTCTACTTCCAGTTGTGTAACTTCTCTGTTTACGGGCATTATCAAGACATTTTAGCTCCTCCGGAGCCCCACTGCACCTCTGGGTTGAAGAAGCCCGTGGCCACTGAGCTGGGAGCTGTGGACATGCTGTTGCTCCCCACGGTCACCCTTTCCCTCATGGATTCCTGCACATCTTAGAGACTGAACCTCTTCTGCAGCGCAGGGTTTCTCCTGTGTTAGTGCCAGGCGATACTCTCAGCCACGGGAAGGAGCTTGGCCCCTTCCGACCTCGGGGCAGGTGCTTTTCTGCTGCAGTTCGCCCACGTGCTAGCTTCTCCTCTTCACTCTGAGCCATTATCTTGTCTGTGTGCTGTTTTTTTCCCAGGACACCGCTGAGTATTAAGGGACTTCCTCTAGGGGTTCTCTTCTGCTTCTCTTGCTGTGTGTTCAATATTATCACCTTCATAGAGTGGTTAAAAGCTCTCTTACCACACTTAGGAAAGCCCTGTATTATTAACTTTTTTTTTCTCTAACTCCTCACTGGTAAGAGGTTCAGCTTTATCAAATTTAAGCTGTTCTACAAAATTTCTTTTTGTAATAATTCAACTAAACATGGAAAAAAGAACTAGAAATTCTGAACTTTTTTTTCCTTTTAAGATTTCTTTGAAAGGGTTACATAGAGAGAGGGAGAGACAGAGAAAAAGCTCTTTGAACTGCTGGGTCACTCCCCAGATGGCTGCAATGGCCAGAACTGGGCCAAGCCAAACTAGGAGCCAGGAACTTCATCTGGGTCTCCCACATAGGCAGCAGAGGCCCAAACATTCAGGCCATCTTCCACTGCATTCCCAGGCCACCAGCAGGGAGCTGGACCAGAAGCGGAGCAGCTGAGACACTAACCAGTTTACTCTGTATGTAATGCTGACCCCCTCCCCTTTTTCCCCTAAACTGATTGATTTATTTGAAAGGCAGAGTTAGAGGGGGGAAGAGACAGAGGGATCGAGGAGGAGAAAGAGAGAGATCTTGCTTCTGCTGGTTCATTCCCCAAGTGGCCACTGTGGCTGAAACTGGTCCAGGCAGAAGCCAGGAGCCCAGAACTTCCAGTCTCCCACATGGAAGGCAGGGGACCATCGTCCTCTGTGTTCCCAGGTACCCCAGCAGGGAGCTGAAGTGCACTCTGATTTGTGATGCTGCTGTTGCAAGCCACAACTTTAATCCACTGCACCATAATGCTGACTCCCCTCCTATTTTTTCATTTTTAAAAAAGATGTATTATTGATTTGAAAGGCAGAGTTAGAGAGGGAGGGAGAGAGGGAGAGAGAGAGAAAATGAATGTGAATATCTTCCATCCCCAAATGGCGGCAACAGAGACAGATAGATCTGTTTTTTTTTTTTTAGCTTATTTATTTATTTATTTATTTTTGACAGGCAGAGTGGACAGTGAGAGAGAGAGACAGAGAGAAAGGTCTTCCTTTGCCGTTGGTTCACCCTCCAATGGCTGCCGCGGCTGGCGCGCTGTGGCTCGCGCACAGCGCTGATCCGAAGGCAGGAGCCAAGTGCTTCTCCTGGTCTCCCATGGGGTGCAGGACCCAGGCACTTGGGCCATCCTCCACTGCACTCCCGGGCCATAGCAGAGAGCTGGCCTGGAAGAGGGGCAACCGGGACAGAACCCGGTGCCCCGACCGGGACTAGAACCCGGTGTGCCAGCGCCACAAGGCGGAGGATTAGCCTATTGAGCCACGGCGCCGGCCAATAGATCTCTGTTTTAAAAACATCATTTAGCACCAATAATAAAGCACCAACAACAGTAAGGCTTTCCTAAATATCTCAGCTTTCTCAAACATATTTGTCACCTCCCCGTCATGCATTTCTTGTTCAGGGAGCAAGCAGCCTGTCTCCTATTTTCTTCTGCGGCAGCAAAAGCTAAGCACCGTGTTACTGCTCCTAACCCAATGAGCACATGAGCAATTTCAACTTAGAGACAACACCCAAAAGGCAATACAGTTTCCACAATTTCATTAGGTTGCTTGAAAATAGCTCTCTCTCAAACTTGCTAATAAACAATTTACTGAAAGTTCATTGTGTTTTTGCCTGAATCTGAGGAGTCAGATTAGAATAATTTGAAAAGTTTGTAAATTTCTTCCTACAAAAGTCTTGCAACACAGATGAGAACTTAGGGTTCCAGAAATCTCATTCCCTTTGCCAATGGAAATCAGATGTTTTGTTGGCCAAGCAATGGGAACAAGAGTACCCTGCCTCTATGCAGTGTGTCTTCCAGTAATGGAAGGAAAGATTGCTTATGCAATATGTTTAACTCTGCCATTTGTTCACTAAAGTCCTGCCCCAAATCTACCCCACTATACGAATCTCCTAGCTCTTTTTATCTAACCCAAACTTGCCTGACCTAATCAGCACTAGCCCTGGGCAAGACAGAGATCTAGGGAATCATTTGCAGAATGCAGTGATCTGTTTTAGAAATAGGGATGGAAAACTTCTTGGTTAGGTGAGCTTCTTCCTGCCTCCCTCCCTGCTCCCACCCCTAGCTCCACTACAGACTTTATTTACATTTGCTTCACAAGGATGCTTCTGTGGTTGCCCTAGGAAGAGCAGATTACAGGATTCCCTCTTTGCATTGCAAGCACGGTGGACCACCCACTATGGGAAACACCACACTGAGTATTTCAAGGAGGCTCAAAGATGTAAAAAGACACACTAGTTCCGGCTCCTGACTCCAGCTTCCTCCTAATGCAGACCCTGGGAGGCAGCAGCAAGGGCTCAGGTAATTGGGTCCCTGCCACCCACGTGTGGGAGACCTGGATAGAGTTTCCTGCTCCCAGCTTCACCCCAGTTCAGTTCCAGTTGGCCATTGCAGACATTTGGGGAGGGAACCACTGGTTGGTGCACTCTCTCTCGCTATCTCTGTGTGTGTGTATATATATGTATATGTATATATGTGTATGTGTGTGTGTGTGTGTGTGTATATATATATATATATAAGCTTTTTCTGCCCCTCAAAAAGAAAAAAGGGACATGCTAATGCCCTCTAAAAGCTTAGCATCTGGTTAGAAAAATAAATCATATACTAGTGAAACAAAATGAAAATAATTACTCCAAAATTTTATTTTCTTAACATGTGCATTTCACAAAATCTCTAAAACCACACAGTTCCATAGCGAAATCATCATTCATTAACTATTTGAAGTCTTCTCTCAACTAAAGTATAACCCAAGATATCTTCAAAATTTTAATGACAAGAAAGTATTTTTGAGCTAGTTTTCTGTTTGTTTTTGAGAGGCATATGGAAGACAGACACAGGGACAGTGCTCCCACCTGCTGCTCACCCCTCAAATGCCTACAACAGCGAGGGCTGAGCTGTGCCAAAGCCAGAAGTCAGGAACTCAATCTGGGTCTCTCCCATGTGTGGCAAGGACTCAACTATTTGAGTTACCACCTGTTGTCTCCCAGAGTGCACATTAGCAGGAAGCAGAGATCCAGAGGGGAGTTGGTACTTGAACCCAGGTAGTCTGATATGAAACACAAGTGTCTCACCAGTGGCTTAACCCTAGGCCAAACACCTACCCTGTGAGCTAGTTTTAATGGTACCCATCCATTAAATTTTCTTTCAAATACCTGGAATAAAAGTCAACAATGCTGTAGTCATCGAACAAGCATATAATGAATGAGCTCTGCATACAAAATACTATTAGAGATTCTTCCTCAAATCTTTTCTTCTGCAACGTCTAATCCCATCCACTGCATTTTTCATTTCAGACATTGTAATTTGCATGTTCAGAAATTCAGTTTTTGTCTTTTTAAAAAAAATACATCTTCTATGTCTTAACTCTTTACATATGTGGGATACAATGAAAAAACTGCTTCCTTCTCTGCTACTTCTAACATCTGAGTCCACTCTGGGTTGGTTTCGGCAGATCATTCTCTTCATTGTGGGTCATGTTTTCTTGCCTCTATTTGGAGACCAGACATGGTGAATTTTACTTTGTTGGGTGCTAGAAACTTTCCTATTCCTACACGTCTTGAGCTGTGTTCAAGGGTGCAGTTGGAAACAGTTTAAGCCTTTCATGTCTTGCTTTTAGGATTCCGCATCTCTGCAGTAGTGCTCAGTCTAGACTATTTCCCACTCAATGCTCTATGGGTTAGGTTTCTTTTCTTTTCTTTTTTTTTTCCAGTTC